GCCTGCGCTCAGGGAAGGACTATTATTAGCATGACGCTTAAATCACGCGATTGTACAAAAATTATTATGTGACGAATGTACCCGAAATTAGTTACACACTGATGTTACATAATATTCACTCGAGGCAGTTGTTCGCGTGACGCGCAGATCGCGTGTTCAAAGTGGATGAGATTTACAAATTTGAAGATTAGCCTTTGCTTTTTTAATGATCCCAACTCGCTCCTTAATATCTAGATACTACAATTTTTATTCTTAATGCTTGAAAATGTAAATATTTCTTATTAAGCTGTCTGGAGGGCAAAGCCCAATCTAATCAAAGGGTGCCTATGGCTACTTGTGGATTAATTATCTTAGAACTGAAAGCTGATAATGCCCTTGCAGTTTAGACTACAGATATATAAAAAATCTGTCAAAATATGAAAACAAGAGAAAACGACCAAAAAAACAGTAAAGAAAAAGAAAAGTTTCCTACGGCGGGAGTCCCGGACCGTAAGGTCACCGCGTTATCTATAGATGGTTTTCACTGTGACGTCGTCAAATTGTAAAGTCAAAATAGCGAGGTTTTTCGAATTCTTCATTACACTAGGTTGAAGATAATCAAAAAGTTAATCTTTGTACAAGTTTTCATTTTATTCCGTAGCATGTTTCGTTTCGAAAATACAGCAATTTGAACTTCCGAGTTTTCACGGTGCGTGACACCAAAATAGGAATGCTGTCTCGTTGAAAAAAAGTCTCTCCTCTTGATTTTCAGCGATATAACCACTTCAAGTGTTAGAAGATATGTTTATGCGCACGCATGCTAGTTCTCGAGTGAAAAGAAAGAGCTTTTATAGAAAACGTGAACTCCAGATGTTTTTGTTGATTTCCGACGGCCATATTGGTGCACCGAAACCGGTGCACCAATATGGCGTCTCCATACAAAGCTCTACAAAGGTGCGTGAAACGTTTAGGCATATAACTCAGAAACTGTGGGCCACAAAGACCTGAGACTTGGACAAATTGTTTATATATTAGTCTTTTACAACATTTCATTTTCTTGGCTTCTTCCACTGGACGGTTTCCAATTTATTTTTTTGTTGCGTGACAGTGAAAACGATCTATAGACTGCTTGCAGTCCTCCTTTTTTCCTTAAAATCCATTTAGTTCTTATCTCAGCCAGCGCGATTGCAAACCACGATGTTACGTTACAATAAGGCATTAGGACCAGATGAGAAAATTATTATTATTGTTACTTTTTCTTCTGGGGCTTACGCTCTCGTTTATCGCGGCTCGCGCCTTCGCCGCTCGCGTGCTTGGGTTTTTTTGTGCAGTAACTTTGCAAAGGAAAATAAGAGACTGCTCGCAGTCTACGTTACCTATTGCGCCACGACAACTAATATTTTTGAAACAAAAACAGAAGCGTTGAATTAATTACCTTTATCACTTTGCCCATGAATTGAAATTCTGCCGGTGGACGGTGTTTGAATGATAGAGCCTCATTTATGAAGAATTGAAAGATATATTCGAGGAAAACGAGCATGGTTTTGACGGTAAAAGCCTTGGTGAAGTCTCTTGNAAACCGGTGCACCAATATGGCGTCTCCATACAAAGCTCTACAAAGGTGCGTGAAACGTTTAGGCATATAACTCAGAAACTGTGGGCCACAAAGACCTGAGACTTGGACAAATTGTTTATATATTAGTCTTTTACAACATTTCATTTTCTTGGCTTCTTCCACTGGACGGTTTCCAATTTATTTTTTTGTTGCGTGACAGTGAAAACGATCTATAGACTGCTTGCAGTCCTCCTTTTTTCCTTAAAATCCATTTAGTTCTTATCTCAGCCAGCGCGATTGCAAACCACGATGTTACGTTACAATAAGGCATTAGGACCAGATGAGAAAATTATTATTATTGTTACTTTTTCTTCTGGGGCTTACGCTCTCGTTTATCGCGGCTCGCGCCTTCGCCGCTCGCGTGCTTGGGTTTTTTTGTGCAGTAACTTTGCAAAGGAAAATAAGAGACTGCTCGCAGTCTACGTTACCTATTGCGCCACGACAACTAATATTTTTGAAACAAAAACAGAAGCGTTGAATTAATTACCTTTATCACTTTGCCCATGAATTGAAATTCTGCCGGTGGACGGTGTTTGAATGATAGAGCCTCATTTATGAAGAATTGAAAGATATATTCGAGGAAAACGAGCATGGTTTTGACGGTAAAAGCCTTGGTGAAGTCTCTTGCTGACGGCGTTGTACAGCTTGCAGTCTGTTAATCTGAGGTTAACACTGATATCACCAATATATAGATTTAGCCAGGGCTCAAAGCGAAGCTCTCGATAATATTTATGGTTTGTTCAAACAAAATATATAGAGGGTATTACACGGTGGCGCGAAGATATGAATTTTATTTTCGAGTGGCAAAACAATATTTTACGAACGAGCGCAGCGAGTGAGTAAAATATTGTTGTTGCCACGAGATTTGTTTTTATTATATAGACAAAAAGATATTGATAAAATAATAGAGGGAAATTACCGAAATTACGTCATCGATAAACTCACCTGTGAGATTATGGAAAATAAACCACTCGGGTCCCGGATGTAGTTTTTATGAATTTTACGAGTGGTATATTTTCCAGTAAAACACTCGTGTCTATATAATAAAAAATCGTATAATGCCAGGCGGCAAAGGTCTAACTAACAAAAAAGCAATTTTGCACGTGCAGCACACTTTTTTGTACATTTCTTTGCCGTTGTTTTGCACGACTACAACGTGAAACTTCCAGAAACTTCTTAGTTACACGTTTTTTGGAGGAAATGTCGTACGTGTTCTCGTTCACTTTGTTTTCACTGCCGCTCATTTTCACCTTGCGTTGGTGGCCGCTAGCATTTCTCACTTTGTCACCGCTACAAAATTTTCATGTTGTTCTTCCAACAAAAAATGTCTACGTGTCGGGACGTATTCTCAGAAGAGACCTCGCGTAAGCGACCACTAAGTCTTAGCATTTTGAATTGTCGCTTACGAGAGGTCTGACTGTATCTTATCAATAGTTCCGCGGCGCTCTTTCGAGAAGATAGGTGAACATTGGTACGGAACAATTGTGTTTCAAACAGGCTAAGGAAATGTACAACAGGAGACGAATCCCCTCAGTCGACGCTTCAACTGTTCCTTTTTTCTGTTTTTAAGTGTCGCTTTAATAGCGCTTTCAAGAACGTCCTGAACTCCTTCTCCTTTTAACGCCGAACACTCCATGAAATCTGAGGCCCCAATTGCACTTCTCAGTTTCTTCCCCGAATTAACTGTCACAACTTGTCTATTGTCATGTAATTTACGACTGGATTGCCCTGTTTCATCATTTCGGCGTAAACCAACCAGTATCACTGGTGTCTTTGGACAATGACTCTTAACCTCTGGAAACCATTTATTGGAAATGTTAGCGAAACTTTCCTGGCAATCAACCGAGTAACACAATAGTGTCACATCTGCACCCAGGTACATTACAGTTCGTAATCGGTAATCTTCCACGCCGGTAATGTTAGTGAAAACCAGCTCACATGGGTTGCCTTGAAACATTAATAATTTGAACTGCAAATATGGTTCATGATATGGATAGTGCTTGGCATTAAATGCCCCAAGAAGGCTTGTTGTCTCACAAGCAGCATCTCCCAGTAAATTTATCCTCAATCTCGTAACATCTTTAAACTGAATGCCTTCACATGAATGTTCTGAAAGATAAGATTATGATTATCAACATATTAACATGGCCGTACATGCTGATTATATAAATCTAAGCATTAAAATGAGAAATTGACGGGACAATCTAGAGGATGATTTAGACTCGGCCATAAACCCTTAGAATCCATGTCCTGTTAAATAAAAGGGCAGTTCACAATTCAGGAGTGGACTTTAAAATTTCGCATACCAATCCTTTCTTTTGGGGAGGACCATTAGAAATAATTGGAGGGTAGGTGACAATTCCCCCAAAAAATTCATCAAAGGGAAACTTGTCTGAAAAAAAAAAATAATTTTCCTGTAATGCATAGCATTACAGGAAAAAGTAAGGGGAAATAGTAGCATAAAACAGAAGAACATTGAAATTCATCACTTGTATCTCAGTACCAATTTATTTGACAACAACAACAAACGTGGCGGCTTCCTATTTCCTAATGCAAAAGATAAATACTTTGAATTTGTTATTCTCTATATAACCTACGTCATACTAATAAATAACAATTATTCACCGAAGTGGAGGTGGCTAAATATCCACCACTAGCCACCGACACTGAGATGAATAATTGTTTTAGTATGTACTAAAACAGTGAGATAATTAAGCACTAAAATGATGATTTTTACCTTACTGTTGCCAACGATCTCATTTCAATTTTGGCGCGCAATGGCCGAACGGCCGTCGCGTTTTCTTGCCGACAAATAAAAGTTTTGAAGGCATTTGTTTAGCTCTTTTGGGGAAATTTCTTCAAAAGGAGTTGTGAATTCTCTTTGCATTTAAAACCATTCTGTAAAAAATGTATTAAATTTAGTTTAAAGCTTATTTATGTAAGGGTTATCGGACTGAAGCAAGGAGTTGTGTGATTTATTTCCCTCGTGCATTGCGCCCGAGGGCAACGCACGAGGGGAATAAATCACACAGCCACAAGCTGAAGGCCGATAAACGGGTTATTTTTACATCGGCAAGGATTCTTCTAGGGATACATTAAATAAAAATGCCCCTGTTGTTCATCTGTCTTTTGTTATTTCACACTTCAGGCTGGCAATGGTGGCATTCACAAGTTTCTGGGCTTTCTATTTATGTTAGTTTTTCCAAATCGCCTTTGGAATTAATTGTTCGAAGTGAATGCTAGAAACAGCCTAATGAGCCTAGCAGTGTCGAGCGATTCAGAGTCAGAAGTAGAACCTTTTATTACTCAAACTGAAGCAGCTTTAGTGGTGGTACTGCAATTGAGCTTTCGGAAAACAATTTTGAATCTTCATTTGCGGGTGCAGACAACGAGCAAGCGGTTGACAATTTCAATTTTCGCACCGAGAATCTTTCGATCAACCTGTTTACAGATAAAGAAGATTCTGGGCGAGGGATCAATGCTGTTACTTCATAACAAGGAGATTCAGTCGAGGAGTGAAGCAAGTATACCACAAAACACAAAGACGTCAACTACATGGAGTACACGAGTTTGGGACGACTGGCGAAAAAACGGAACGCCTTACCATCAGAGCGACACTTTCTTGGAACCTGTGGAATTTTAAAGATGCTGTTCAATTTCAAACTGCCGTTCTGGCTGTGGAAATCGATTAACCACGTCCAACTAAGAAAATTCGTGATTGTGGCGCAAAAGAAACGCAGCTCAGTTTAATTTTAGTAATTGTGGCGTCGTGTTGACTTGTCCCCCTTGCATGTACTTATTAGTATATCTGTATATCTGTATTAGTCTGTTTTCGCCATGCAATTGGTCAATTTGCGGTCCGTAACTTGCTATACGGACCAAAATTTGCAAAGAAAATGCTCATTTCGGAGCTCTAACCTTCAACATTTAAACCGTGTTTATTTGTGAACGAGGGCGATGAAGAAACTAACTCGTAATCTTATCGAAGAGGATTCTAGTCAGTGTTTGAAAATTTTGTCGTAGTACAGAGATAAGAAGACGAAAATCGACTGGCAGTGCGTGATTCGAGATGTTTTTCGTAAGACAAAATGAGTAATTCCTTCGACAAATATGATAACAAACATCATCTTGACGAGCTTCTTTGCCAGTGTAGTGTTTTTTCAAAGACCAACGAAAGAAATATAGAAGCGACTTCGAGCTAAACACAATGTCCAGTTTTCAAAAGACTCCAGCGTCACATTGGCGACCCCGAGTGAACACTTACAGTGCTCTTAGTTTTGACCGAATAAACCTTAAAATATATCTGTCAACCCTGAGGACTGAGATGTTGACTTTGCCTTTCAAAATTTTAAACTAGCTTTGTCTTAATGAGAACGAAGCTGATGTAGAAATTGTAACCTTACCAAGGAAGAGAATTGTAGTCAGTGAAAATTCTTACGCAGATCACTATTAAAGACGATAACGAACTGGCAGAAATTTGAGAGGTTTTCCCCAAAAGAATTAATGAGCGAACCCTTTGACAATGACAACAAACTTACCTTGAAAATCTTTTTTGCCTTTTACAGTGTTTTTTTTGTTACAAGGACCAACGGAGGAAAGATGGAAATGACTTCGAGACACACACATTCACAGCGTCCGGTTTCAAAAATCCTCCAGAGCTAAATAGAGCTAAAACTTACAGTGCCCTTAGTTTTGACCGGATAAAATTTTTCAACATGGAGACTCGCGCTTCGTGCTTGTGAAAAATTTGAGCTCGACTTGTAGGCAAGTCTAGTCGAGATATTAAACACGCGGGATTAGTTTGGAGAGCACGAAAGAGACGTAAGAGTTGCTCGAGGCGCAGCCGAGAGCAAATTATTGTAGCCTCTTGAGTGCTCTCCAAACTAAGTGCTTAATATCTCGACATAGGCACATCTGATGCATGAACCAATTGTTTTATGACATTATCAAAGCGATCAATGCAGCAGTCAACTTAAATTTTATTAGAGACTTTAAGCAAATCACAACGACGCCACCAAAGTGGTCGACCGGAAGTAAAAATGCACTATTGGTGTCTACTGCGAAGGCGAAAGACTAAACTTGAGTCGTCGACTGGCGACGCGTGTATCAGAAGTCGTCTTCGGTAGGTGAGTATTTATTCACTTTTTTTGTCTTTTGTCGAACATGCCGTGGAAGCACACCCTTACCAAAATTAGAGCACTGATAGTATACTTTTTGTAGACAAATAGTATACACCGTATGTATTACATTGCCATGGTGTACATTTTTAGTATACATCAAATATACATCAAGCAAGATTTGGCTTAGCAAAAAAAAATGATGTATACTCTTTGTATACATCACTTGCATTTAAGTAGCAATGATGTATACAACAAGTATACCTCAGGACTTTAAAGCAGCAATGACGTATACAACAAGTATACCTCAAGGCCTTCAAACAGCACTGATGTGTACAATAAGTATACATCAGTGCTGCATTGATGCCAAGTTGTATAAAAAACATCTTCATTGATTAGGAAGTAAAGCTTTGATGTATACTTTTTGTATACTTTGTATAGCATAAACAGTTTATATATAACAACATATAAATATATAGTATATGTTGTAGTTCAACTTTTCCCTGGTTTAAATTTCACATACATTACCATGCCCAAACAAAAGAAAAATTAAATTAAAGCAGGAACAAAAGTAGAAAAACAACACATATGTTGATTGAATTGAAGGGTTACCAAAAATAATTTCAGTGAAACAAACTCTAGAATACTGTTTTACATGTACCTGATTAGAGAATCTCTGAGAAATTCCAAATGCTGATGAAAGGAATACGTTTGAACAACAAGAACTGGACAAACAAGACATATCTCTAATAGATCTGTAAAACTGCAGTAATTTAAAAATTATATATTTCGCTCTTTGCAACTCATCACTCACTGGCCAATGCTTATAAAATAATATTGTCCATTGTTCATGTAAGAATTAGCATTGTGAGAAATTCAGCAACAACATCAACATTTTTGGGACTGATATGTCATACACAATCTTCGTTAAGGGGTCAATGTCATGCAATTTCGAAAGATACACAACATTATTTTGCTATAATAAAAACATTAAAAGAAGCTAGTTTTAATAAAAAAAATTATGTTTACGTGCCCTGACAGGAAAAGATGGCAGCTTTTAATAAATGGCACACATTTTCTTTTCTCTCTCAAAAATTCACTTGAAACCTACCCATTCGTGTTGCAGGATCATAATTTTGCATGTTACATGTATCTGTGACGGTGCTCTGATGGTGCTACCATGCACTTACAGTTGCAAAAAAACCACTCAAACGCTTTAGTCTTTTTCGTACTGATTAGGAAACATTCCCACAAAGGGAGTATTGTCATTACCACAGTCAACAAAAAAGCATAATCGAATAATGTTGTCCACTGGAATTGCAGTGATACAATTATTGTCACTCCTGATGACTGGAACCAGGTGAGAAACAGCAGTACCAGTGTAGGGATCATTAGCAATTGCTAAAGTCTTGTTAGGTTTCAGAACTTTGACCAATGCATAAAACAGTGGCTTCCTACATTTACATGAGTTAGCACAAAATGAAGGGTTGGGGCAATGTAAATATATTTTGGAATAGAACAAAATCTGTCCAAATGAAGGTGGTGAATCCCCACTGTTGCCTTTAAATTCTATTGTAAAGTTGTTTCTCCTTGTCATGCTTTTGTATAACTTGGAGTGAATCAGTTGCTCTCCAATGAGTAATCTGAAAAACTGATACACTTCTTGAACTGGCCCAATTAGGGATTCGACTACAGCTCGCTCAACAGCAGTAAAGACATAATTTTGTAAGTTGCCCACGATGCTGCAGTTGCTGTTGCCTGGAAGTTTTTCCTTTTTGGAAGCAAGGGGACGCTTTCTTGAAAGGTGTTCATAAAGTTCTTGAGCCATAGATCCACTTTCGAGGAGAGGAACCAACTCAGGTATTCTCTGTTGCACACTGACAGCTGTCACAATCTGTTCTTCCACACTTTGTGTACCATGAAATAAGCTTCTTAATTCCCCATTGAAGTCTTCAAAGCAAAAACAAGAGTGAGTCCACAGTGGACCAAGATCTCTCACTCTTTCTGTCATGTGAAGTAAACAGTGCACATTAAAAGTTTCATAGCGGGCTGCATAAAGTTCCTTTATCCTGATACAGAAATGCTTTATTAAAGCAGAGGCCTTTACAATGTCATTCGGAGAGATAGAATCCTGGAGAAGAAGGTAAATGGCTTCCACAAGGTGAAGGTAGTGCTGAAAGTACTCTTCTGGAAGAATACCATACAGACATGGAACAGAGTAGAACAACAGGAAAGTCCTTAACTCAGATGCTTTGAGATGCCCAAAGTTTGCTATCAGGCTTCTGGGAAGGCGCGTGATGCAAGAAGGAGGACTAATCTTTAGGTACCTCTCTTCAATTTCTTTCATTCTTTTACAGACAGACCATGGCTCTGCTTTATATGTCTTGTCACTCCAAAGGGTAAGCAACATCTTAACCACGCCAAGTAATGTACTGTGCATATAGTCAATGGCTATTCCTCTAATGATGTCAAACTTTGGAATAAACATAAACCATGAATAGCCTTTAACCCCTTTAACACTACTTGGGATGCCCTTTTGAGCACTTTCCTTGGTAGCTTCAGCTGCAAACTTTAATGTCTGTTCATGTGTTCTTGGTTCCCCATGACCAGTTCTGAGATTTGCTTCATCAAATGGGTAAGCATGAGTGTGCCCTTTGCTACTTGTCTGCACAGTTTTGCCAGGGCTCAGGCAGTATGGGCAACCATAAAAGGCATTGAATTGACAAAACTCTTGGAAAAGGCACTTTGCTGGGGCATCAAATGTCCCTAAGAGTAAAATACAGCGAAGCAACATGTTCTTGCCATTCAGCTTTACATCAATCCCTATAAAAAAGGAGCAAAAAAATCCTGACTATTCAGATGTTGACCCATAGGGTAGAAATGAGGGCAGCAGAATTTCTATAGACTTCAAAGTTAATTGATAACAGATAACACATCAAAGCATTTTGAAATTCATACATACATGTAGCTGCTAAATAATGATTGAAAATAATTTTCAATAATTTAAAGCACACATTTGTATCTACATGTATTATGCCAAATCTCCTTTAGTCAGAGTTGTAAGTTAAACCTGTGTATAACGGTCACCCTTGGGAAATGGCCAAGTGGCCGTTATATACAGGTTCTCTTTAAACTCTACTGGAAGTTAATGAATAGCATCTAAGTCTAAAGGGTGACTGCATCCGTTACGCACACTAACAGGTGACCACTATATACAGGTCACCTTTACAGAAAATATAAAGCAAAGTTTTAGGGAAGTTGTCCGGTGAGTCACTCTATAGTGACTCAATTTCCTTTGTCCCCCTTTGTAAATTATATATAGTTCGGGGAGTAATAATTATGTCAAACAGCAACAGTTGTACAATGTATTTATTATGAACATTCTGAACTAATAGTATACTAGAGAGTAGCTGTGACTACAGTGTGCATATATGTACATTAGAATGTAGCAGATAAATGCATGCTTTAAGGTAATACAAAAAATGGGGACTGATTTTAAAAACATAAACCTTACCTTTGAAGAATAAATCATTTAGTGAGTTTGCGAATGGCTGCATAAATGTTTGGAAATGTGGCTTGGAGACACCGAACCAAAGCCCAGCAAACATGCGGTACTTTCTCTGCTGCCTGTAGGGACAGAAAATAAAGGGAAAGAATGAAGTTTTTTAACAAAAAAAAAATGTGAATATGTTTTTTTAATGAGAAAAAAAGCAAAAGCGGTCCATTTCAAGATAGGTCAGTTACCAAGCAAAGAATGAGTTACAAACAATTCTTACTAGTTAGCAATTCTGCAAATTATCAGTGCTCATTATGATGTGTTGCAGTTAGATTAAGTGATACTCTTCTCTCACAATTTCTTTTCTCTTATTGGTTATTAACTGTGGAATTTTCTCTTTGGTAGTGGCATCATGAAGGCAAGTAGATGCTTAAACTGTGTACTTCAGTTCCACAATTAATTTATTTACATGACTATACTTTACAACCATTGTTATTTTGGTTACTTTGGTTTGACATTCTTTAATCAATACTTCAAAAAAAAAAAGAGAAATTATATATTATTTAGCAATACTATAGAAATGAAATACTCGGCTGGGGGGGGGGGGGGGGGTTTGAAGCTGTTTAAAACGCTTACAGCACATGTTTAATCAAGGGTAAAAATTCAAGCTTTTATTACATACCTGCAATTTGGAGGCAATTCGTTGACAATAAAATAAACCGGCCATATGGAAAATTTTGAAGACCTAAAAATTGCAACTCCATCCGTGTTTATTTGCAGGGACAAATGGATCTGTGTCTTTTTGTCCTGTGTGGATGAACCCCTAAAAAATCCGTCCTCCCCAAAGTGCTTCTTATACAGTTGTCCATCAAAGATATCTTCAATGGCATCTGAGTTTTGTTTTTGTCTTGTGACACGATACTGCAGAAAATCAGGTACTTCTGGCCCTAAGAAACAAAACAAATATTTGAAAACAATACATAAGAGTGAGAAAATAAATTTCACACAGAGGTTCTGTTTGACTGAGGCAAATGATAATATTTCCTGAATACATGTACATGTAACAAGACTGCAAAAAATCTTTTTCATTTAAATCTTGGAATTTTTCCTATTATTGATCACGAACTGCTAATGTTAACTGTCAATGCATTAACAAGTGATAACAACCAGTTACATATGTAACATTGTTTCAGTTTGATGAATGGTTAAAATACATGTATTGAGTGAATGCTTTAAGGCCTCTACAGACTAGATATTTAGTTGTCAAAAACGTTTTTTTTTTTTTTGCGACAATGACAATGTTTAAGTTGTCAACAACAGCAAAATTTAGCATTTAGTTGTCAACAACCCGTCTTACACACTGCGTTTTTTTGTTGTTGATAACATTTAGTTGTCGAAAACAAAACGTTGTCGACAACTAAATTTCTAGTCAGTGGAGGCCCTTACAGTCACTTCATTCCATCAAAAGAGCCTGGGAAAACATGAAGTACAAAGAAAAGAAAAAGTGCACGATTCTTACACCGAGGTAAACCCAAAAGAACGAGAAATCCTTTGATGTGGGGCATTATTTAGTGACAGGGGATACTTAACATGGTAGTGGATAAAGATAATGAGAAATTCTTTGTTATTTAGTATCATTTAGTAACAGGTGGGACATCTACTTAGAACGAACTGACTTGGAAGGAAGTGACCTGATACCAAAGGAATGATCTATACCTTAGCAGATAATCTACTTACTTGACAGCAATGACTGAAGCTGTGTGACTAAGGGTAGGACAATGAAGTAGGCCAGTGCACCTTTTTTGGAAAAATCTACCAGACAATACTTGTTAGAACAGCAGGAGGTCTTTGTAAGCCCAATGTACTCAAAACAGCAACAACAATAATAGTGGTACTCGATAGGCTTCTTAAGCTTTCGAAAGAATCGGTTGAGAACAGCTGTCGATTTAGCAAAGCAGTTGGGTACAACAAGATGAATGTTAATTAACGTCAAAAGGTCAGCCAAAGCCAGTCCGCTCAAATTATGCCTTATGGCGAAGCTAATAATCAGCAGCAAGCTAACTGAAAAAGTAACGGGGGACCCCTCGTATAAAGGGGTGTCTTGTGATAAGGATAGCTCAGTAATTTTCACGTAGTCATCTTGAGTGCTGCTTTCATTCCTATCTTCCGCTTCCGAAAGTTCATCCACGTCATTATCTTGCTCGTTCAAATCCTCATGAAACTCGCTAGATCCGTACGTTGTATCAAGCGCTGGATCTTCAGGAAAAACTTGCGAAATTTCATCACAGCTGTCTTGCTCAACTGCCGTGTTGTTCAGGAGCCCCTTTAACATTTCATCAGCGATGGAGTCTCTAGTTGGGCGGCCTTCTCTGTCATTTTCTACCTCAGCTGGCCGACCATCTTCTTTCAACAAATCAACATTATTACGGTCTTCCAGAGAGTATTCTTCGATCCCCTGAGATGCATATGAGTAGTCCAGGAACTCTGACTCAAAATGTTCAACAGTGTCGCTACAAGATACCGCATTCGTTTCTCTATCATAAGTTTTAGCTAGTTTCTGGCGATACTCTGACGTTCTGGGAACTTTCAACGACGGATGTGACAGATAAGACAGGTAAGTACCTCTTCTTTTTTCACAACTTCTAGAGTTACGTGTTTCTTTTGCATTTCCAGTCGCCATGTTGTGTTCGTATAAAAGCCGATCGACCCAGGCAGATATTACGCATGCTCAATACGTCGGCGTCTGTTTGTTTTCCTTTTGGCGGGATTTTTTGCGGCACGTTTGTCGGTGTATGTGTTAGATCTTGGCGCGAAACTTCAGTAGCTGTGAAACGTGAATTGCTTGGTTCATCAGACTCTTTTTCGACTGAACGTTTATTGTCGCTTCCCCTTTTTCGGGCAATCCAGTATCCAGGAAAATGGTGAGTACATTAAACTGTATAAAAAAACCTGAAAAACCCTAATCAGGTCACGTTTTAGTTCGTTTTTTAATAGCAATTATGGTGATAGGTAAGCTCAACGGTTCTACTTAAATCGGTGAGAAAAAATGGTAAAAGTTTACCTTCTTCATTCAGGTCGAATGCAGCGTTCAAGCCAGGGAATTGTTCTCTTAGAACTTCTTTGATACATTCGCAGCGTAAAATTCATTTTATCTTTGTGTCTGCGAACTGGAACTGATACAACTCGATCGGGCTCAGCTAGTGCATTTCAAATAAGAACGCGACAATAAATGCTCATCCTCGGTGTAAAAACCTGTAAAGTTTTTCTTTGTTTTCTAGCTATTGTTTTCCTTGGCTCTATTGTGTTGACTTCTCAGTGGCTCCTTTGTATTCATTGTTTTACGTCACTCGTGAGTTTCACAGGTTTTTACACCGAGGTAAACCCCAATAAATACTTAAGCTTATAAGCTTCCAGTGTAAAAGACTTGAGAAATTATTAATTTTCAGTAGTCATTTTTAATTCTAAAAGAGCGTCCTGTAGTTAAGGATATTTAAAGGGAAAAATACTAACAGAGGACGAACTGAAACGTTTTAGACTTTTTACTGGCTTTCTCGCAGTCGACCGGCTTGTCACAAGTCGATCACGACCCGATATGACTTTCACAGCATCGGGAGTAGAAGCGTGATCATTTGAATCTTGACATCCATGGTTCCTGTCGTTTTCTTTTAACCTCAGTGATTTATAATTTCTGCAAATATGTTCTTCCACGTTCATGACTCGCATTTCAATTTTGTCATTGATTTCAGTCTTTTTATGAAAAGGCTTTGATATATTCACCACTGGTCACCAACAGAAACTATAAGTAACGCCTGATTGAACAACCGCTCATGTGTTTCTGTCACCGATTAATAACTAACTTTCTTTAGTATAACTAACTCACAACTTTTTTACTACTTGTTAATCGTTCTCGGCGAGGGCAAAATTGATATTGCGAACGTTAACCAAAATATATACCCTTATATATCCCTGACGATTGCGTCGAAGTAGTACAGTTCCTTGAAATAATGACTTTGGTGAGTGTTCTAAAATTTTTGTGCCCCCTTTAAAACATGTTTGAAATTAACAAGCATCAACGCTGTATTACCTTGACTGCCGGCATGGGTAACAGGGACTGTGAACGGAGACCGGGCCGCCATTTCTTGTATTTCTTGGATCAAAAGTAACTAACCGGGAAGGTAGTTTCCCATACATGTGCACATATTCCTGTGAGCTTCAGGCTCAGGTTTTTGTTATTCATGATTCCAAACAAAAAAATGGGACCCACGACTGGTGTCTCAGATTACCAAAACTATTAAATGTGTGTGCTTTTCTCTGACATCGAAAGAGCAAATTTGTTTACATTGTGCTAGAATACTTTCATAACTTTTTTTAACTACCCCTTGTAGGTGAAACCAAATGGCTTTGCAGTAGTTGAATGGAATCGACCAAATGGAAGAAGTGAATTGGAAGCGATTATTGTGAAGAAGTTAGCTGTCAAGGAAAGTGTAAGAGCTGGGGCCATTGCTGAAATGCAATATGATGGAGAAATTTGGAGGGGAAAAATTCTCTCTCTCCATGGTAAGACTAATAGTTCAAGTGATTTAAGCTGTCATGAGCATGTACTTGTGCATCTGTCAGAACTCTGGACCACATAAGAAAAAAAACTTACTGATAATGATAATAAATATACATTTACAGTTGTAAAGTGATGACTGTTATTTTGCCTCTGCATGAATGACTGCTAAGAGGGGTAAAGAAATCGTTCTTTCTCACACAAAAAAGAGTCCTAACCCTTTTTTTATTAACTGGCCTTTTTCAGACAGTATGAGTGATGCTAGAAGTGTTTTAGACAAGGAGCTTGGAAATTCTGGAACAGAAGAAAACAGTTCAAACTGTGAACAGAATTCATCCCCCAGTAAGAAGCAGAGAAAGAGAACAAAGAATAAACGACTTGATGGATATGAAACCAGTCAAGGTACAGTAAGCTGTTATTTGACACTAACAGCATATAATGGTTTAAAGTCACCGCGAAAAGGGAACTACATGTAAGTGTTATAAAAAACTAGTCACTGAGGACATTATTGAAGGTGGTTGCTCCTTGTTCCCTTAAATTTCAATTTACAGAGGTAGATAATAAAATAATAATTATCAAAGTTCTAAAAACATTTAACCTGTATAACCGCCCTGTATATAGCGGTCACCCTGTGTATTACGGTCACCGGACAGGTTCCCAAATATTAATTTAGCCGTATATTGTCTGTGTAGTGGACCTGTATAATGGTTACCTGGCCATTTCCCAAGGGTGACTGTCATAAACAGGCTTGGCTGTATTTTGTTACAGCTACTACAAATTCATTGTTTTTGGGAGACTCAATTATTCAGACCTTTTTCTTATACATTATTATTTTATCCTGTTATTTCTTAAAGATGATGAACCTTCCAAAAAAAAACCCAAGACCTCTGAGGGCAGAAAGAAAGCTGGAGGAAGCAAAGAAAATGACAGTGAAAGTCAAAATAGGAAGAAAAATGCCCGAAAAGATCATGATGATGCAGCAGAAAAGGAGCGAAAGCGAATTGAAAAGGAGCAGGCAAATAAGCAAAGAGAAAAGGAACGGCAGGCCCTTACTGAGCGAAATAACATGTTGCTAGAAAGGATGACTGCTTTGGTGAGTAATCAAAGTGCAGAAGATCCCTTTGATTCCGATGTTGTCTCAGAGTGTGTGGATCTCACAACTTCATCAACACCACCATCAAATCCTGTTCATCGTCTTCAGAACACAGTAAATGAGTTACGGAGTGCCACACCAGAAAGAGTGTTGTCAATCTCACAGCTTCAAAAGACACTGGACATGCTGCAGGGCAATTCAGAGGACCCACCAACCACACCATCTATTTGTCAGACAGCAATTCCATCACTGCAGAGAACCTCTCTGACCACACTGCAGGATGTGTGGGAAGAACCAGTATCCACAACACCAGTTCAGCAGATGCCAAATTCCACCACACCAGTGTCAAGATCTCCTCTGACAACTCTGCGTGGCAGATTAACAGAAGTGCCACTGTCAATACCAAATCAACAGAAAGAAGCCACCATTTCAGGAGCACAAAGAACCCCACTGACAAACACACCCAGAAATTTTCCAAACAGAAGACAAGACTTAGTAGCCAGACCAACTGTGGGTGGTAAATGCCCCAGACGAGTTCTACCACAGCCACTCTCAAGTTCAGATGAAGAAGAGTATTGTCCATCATGCGTAACACGCAAAAAGAGAGTGAGGGAACTTGAAGATCAATTAAAGAGCTTGCAAGGTCAAGGTATGTATGAGGAAGTTTATGTGATAATCCCTGAAAATTAAAGAATGAGAGTTAAAAGAAAACAAGCAGTCTTGTTGTGAATAAAAGAAATAAGGGGTATTAGAAAAAGGGATGCACATAATCCAGTTAGTCTGCTTGGGGGCACCCTGTTTTGGTGGTGGATCGATCGATCCACTGTCTGGTCTTTGTCCACTAATTACAGTAAACACCTGCATATAAGAACCTACTTTTTTGAAGTCTGGCAAAATAGGTTCATGTATTTTGGGGTACGTATTGCCAATTTAGGCTAAGTAGGTTCTTAATTTTTATGAAGGAGATAATTGATCATTGAGTACCAGAAAAATAAATGAACTCGGTTAAATATGCAGTATTTATTCGTAACTATTATAACCTAACAAAACTATATAATTACATGCAAGGTGAACTTTCGATCTTGTTAATAACTATAGTCATTCCTATCATTATTTTTAAGTTTCTGATCCTCCAAGACCTGGAAAGATCAGTCCCATTCTAGCAGAACGCTTTAAGGTAAGCACTTCATTCACCATTTTAATCACAGAATGTGCATGCTATTGTAGACAAATCAGTGTAAAGTTTTTGTGCAAATCATGTAGTCGTCAATGGCTAATTTGATGTTTGCAAGAGGTTCGACCCTACTAGACCTAGTCAGGCTTACAGTTTAACCCATTTGCTCCCAGATAATATGCAGCAGAAAACCACTCTTTCGAGCCATTTAAGACCTTTTCTGGTTCTTACCAGGCTGAAAAGGATCTACAATGTAGATGTGAACTACCCGAAAGACATACTAACAATTCAAGTACAATGCTGATAGTTTCTGATGCTAAATTTTAGCATTGAAGTTCAGGCATCAGGTAAAAAAGTTCACTGCCTCCACGACTGTTTTTTTCACTTTCCCTCGTCCTCACCTCTTGCTTTCCTTGCCCTTTTTTTCTTTTACTTTTGTGGGGCATTTCCTTGGGCTAGTCCCTGCAAGCCACAACTTGCCCAAAGGGTAAACTGTAAGCTGACTTTCTTTACACGCCCTTGTTATGTGTCAAAGTTGTCAATGTCTTTTGAGCATTTGAAATGTGACATGCGGCAGAACATGTGGAATTATTATACAGGCTGTTCAGGTGTGTATGTCTATATAAAATTGCTATCATAAAAATAACATGGCTGTTTTTTCTTCTTAATTCCAACAGATGGTAGAGTTGACTCCTGGTTCTCAAGTTTTTGTGTACCAGAACCATATTCACCAAGCAATGGCCAGAGCGTCGTATAAGTCAGCGGCATCGTTTTTGTTAAACTGTTTTTACACAAACGACGAGCTGGTGGGGATGAACCTGACTGGAGCAAATGGAAAGAAATGCCCAGACAAGGAGATACTTCAAAGCATTATAGGTATGTGTGCAATAACATGATGACTATGTAAATTAATAGTCTCTCAGAAACTGCTTTTTTTTAATTTTCCCATCCATAAATTCACTACTCATGTTGTAATGATTTTTGACCCTCTTTACAGGATTTGTCATGAGAGAATACCAAAAGCATTCGCCAACTGAGTCCTCTCTGAAGCTGGCTTTAAGAAACAAGCTGAGTGCTTTGGAATCAAGAAAGTTAAAGAAGGATGAGTGAAAAGCTTAATTTTTTTTCTTCTGTAATATAATTATGTACGCAGAAAAAGTTAATGTTGTGACAGATAAGTAGTTGGCCTGATTCAGATTACTAATTTCATTGCAAGTTTGTTAGGGCATTCGGTTATTGTCCTTTTTCAGCAAGCAGTCTTTGGGTTTGAAATAATTATGAAAAAATATTTATTAAATGTTAAGTACAATATATAAGCTATTTCTACAGTGAAAATAATATTGTGTTTTAAAAATTATTGACATACTGTACGTCTGTTACTGTTAAAAAAGCTCCAAATAAAATTTATTGTTACAAGCAAATATTGAACATTTTTTAGTGAATTTATGTAGAGCCAGGGTGGTCATGCATGCCTTTGTCCTTACTGAAATTTATGGGTTTCAGCAACTTAATTTAGAAGTGTACAAATTGTATACTTTTTGCAAGTGTTATACAAAAAGTATACTTTTTGTGGTCTTTTCTGTGTATGAAGCATGTATACCATTAGTATACATCCTCTTGGAGAGGTATACTTTTTGTATACATCGGGGTGTTCCAAATTACTAGTACAAAAAGTATACATCAAGTGTATACAAAATGTATACATCAAGTATACCTAAAGTATACCCAGTGCAGTATACTTCATGTATGTTCGGAGTATATTATAAGTATATTTCATTTTGTTAAGGGACAGTCACATTTCAGTGTTCTTGAGGATTTTTTGAAATTAAAGATATCTTTCTGATAGTAGTTGACGAAATTGGAGCTTTTTACTCATTGAACAACTTTCTCCTCTTTTATAGTCATGGCGTCTCCTGAAATCACGACCGCTGAAAAAACAACGTAAGTAAGCATTTTCTGTTTAGTTTGATGTTCATATGATGAGACGGATTCTATTCAGAAAAAGTGATGTCCTCCAACGAAGTCGTGAACTATGTTTTAGGTTTCGATGTAAGTTTTGGCTTGGTTTAGTTTTGGCAGGCACAAGTAAGCGAATGTGTTTGTGTGCACGTGTGCTTGGTAAAACTGGACTACAAAACCATTCGAAAATACAAGCTGTCAGCAGAGGAGTGTTTAAAAGTGCTGTTAAAAGTTTATGAAAGACGGACTAACAGCTATCAGTAAAAGAGTTAATTTTCTGGAAACATGGGTAGCAATGAGTTGCTGTAGTTAGGTTTGCTCCAGCTGGCTGATTCTTTACAAGCATTAAATTCAATGGAGCATTGTTTGTTAACAAAATTCACACTCTTGAATGTTTTCAGTACTCAAAGTTTTGAAAGAAAAATTATTGGCAATTCTCTAATATTTAGGTTTTCCAAGTGCTTGAAATTTTTGGAAACCTTGATCTCAATTAAAATCTAATTTTCATGTTCAGAAATCCCTTCTGCACATCATATAATTTAATTGTATGGAAGAATTATTATTTTTTTCGCCTTTTTGGAACTAAACTGATTTGTTAGTGGAATGTTTGTTCACTGCTTTGCTGGAAAGGGTGCAGTGTTATTGTCTCTTTATTGTTGTTTTTATTATTATAATTATTCTTCTCATCATCATTATTATAAATCATAATTATTGTTGTTATTATTATTATTATTATTATTATTATCATCATCATTATTACCATTATTATCATTATCATTATTATTATCATATTTTTTTGCTTTGAAAGTAAGTTTGTTAAGTACAGACTATTTTTCTTCCCTTGTAATTCTAGGAACTTACCTGCCTTTAAATGGACTAAAGAACATGACGTGCTCTTAGCCAGAGAGATGCTAACAGCTGAGCCAGATAAATGTAAGAACAGAAGTCGTGAGAGTGGCCAGGCGTGGGATCTCATTGCAGCAAACCTAAATTCTGTCCATGCACCACGTTTCCGAGTGAGTCAAAAATCTGTAAGGGACAGGGCCAGGATAATGCTTAAGAACTTTAAATTGAAAATAAGAGAAGAAGAAGTAGGAATCGAAGTAGAAGAACTTTCCGAATTAGAGCTTGCCTTAGAAGAGATAATAGAAAAAGAAAAGGCAGCAAATGCGCAGCTAGATCTTGAGGAATCAGTGAGAAAGAATGAATTGCAAGACAAGGCAAATGCAGAAGAAATGCACCTTCAAACTATGGAAATCTTGGAGAGAGCAAGAAGCGCAGAGAAGCTTCAGGACTAACCGCTGGAGATCAGAAGAAAAGAAGGCAAGACGTAGTGGATCAAACACCCTTAACTTTATGAGAGAAAAAATGGAAAAAGTCATGACATTCAAGCAAGAGGAAATGGCACAAAGAGGGTCGATCAGAGCAGCAAAAAATGCTGAAAAAACAGAACAATGTGTTGCAACAGATGCAACTACAAAAGGTTAATCAATGACAGCAGATGCAAGACATGTTATCAGCATTCATGCAACAAAGTCAACTGCAAAACCAAATTATGTTGGCCATTGTAAAAAAGTTTACTAAAAAAGACTGAATCATAGACAGCGCTAACTAAAAAGATACCTTGTGTTCCACTATAGAAATGTACATATACCTTGTGCATTTTGTGCTCCTTGCACAAAAGCTGTTACAGAGTTTTGCAAGTTATTAGTTGTGTTGTAAGGCTTAAGACAATAAGTCTAGTTACATAGCAGAGGCTACAGATGAAGGACACAATAGAGTGTAGTTGTTTTCAATGACGTTTATTGACTCATAACAAATGACCAGTTCTGTACAATTTGCTATTGTTTGCTTGTCATTTGTTTGACATTTTTGCGGAAGATATCAGTACTATTGCCGGGGGGGGGGGGGGGGGG